GACTGAATTGCTTCTGTCCCATACACACCTCTACGTAATCCAACCTTTAGGTGATGACAGTCAATGGTGAGAATGGAGTTGATGAAAGCCTGTACAGTCGGCAGCTTTATGTCATGGGTACTGAGGGAATGCGGAAGTTGCAGCACACCAATGTTCTGATATCGGGTTTAAACGGTTTGGGTCTGGAGATTGCAAAAAATGTTGTCCTCGGTGGAGTTAAGTCTGTTACACTTCACGATCCCGAAAGTGTTTCCCCTACGGATTTATCTTCCAACTACTATGTTACCTCAGCCGACATAGGCAAACCTCGGACCTCCGTTTGTCAACCGAAAATTGCTGAACTCAACAATTACGTACAAGTCAATGTTCTTACCGTCCCGAAGTTGACTACGCAAATCGTTTCCCAATACCAAGTTGTTGTTCTGACACGGGGCTCGTCTGAAGAATGGCGAGAGTTGTCGGAATTTTGCCACAAAAATTCCATCAAGTTGATTGCAGCTAAAACTTGCGGATTGTTCGGGCAAATATTTTGCGATTTCGGAGAAGAATTTGTAGTGACAGACGGCACTGGCGAAGAGCCCCATTCAGTTCTGATACAGTCGGTCGACAGGGTATGCTTGATTGGGTTTAATTGTCGTTTTCAGGCTAAGGACGGTGTTGTTGTTTGTCTTGACGATAACCGACACGGTTTCTTCGATGACTCCTATGTCACTTTCTCGGAAGTTCAGGGCATGACTGAACTAAATGGATGTGAGCCTAGAAAGATCACAGTTATCGGTAATTCATCCTGTTTTTTTATGTCTGTTTTCCAGGACCACATGCCTTTTCCATTGGTGACACGTCGGGTTTCAGTGAATATAAGTGTGGTGGAGTATGCACTGAAGTGAAAATGCCCCAAAAATTCCACTTTGTTAGTTTACGTTCTTTTCTGACTTTCTCCTCCAGAACGATTATTCAACTGCCTTTATAACTCCCGAGTTTTTAATAAGTGACTTCGCCAAATACGATCGTCCCGGCCAGTTGCATATTATTTTCGAGGCACTGCATAAGTTCCAGTCGACACATCAACGACTTCCAGCAGCATGGAACGAAGACGATGCAAAACTCTTTGTTCAGTGTGTTCGGGATCTTAATGAGGGGCTCAAGGGGTCACCCTGTCATCTCGAAAAAATTAACGAAACTCTGGCTACTACCTTCTCCTATATTTGC